GGGCTGTGCTTGTTCGCGTCAGTCGGCCCGTGCAACGATATCCCCAGGCGCGGGGAGCAGGCAGCCAAAAATGTTACAACAAAGAGAGCCACAAACACGCCAGCACAGTGGGGCATGAGTGCGACCCTACTGGTTTCCCTTGACATCTTGTCACTTTGCGTCAAATAACTATTCACCAAGAGGCATGTCTTCCACATATTCTTAGAAAAGTCAGGCGTACTATTTTTCTGTGCCGTCACAGTACGTTGCTAGTGGGTGTGGCCGCCCATCACTCGGATGGTACTCACAGTGCGCCTACTTGTCGTTGCTTCTACTTACTCGACAGTTTCTGGATATCGTACGTGTTTGCAAGCCGAACAGGATCAGAGTGACATAGTGGGCACAGTCGCTTTGAGAATTCCGGAATGCATTGACTTGATCGGCGACGTTGCTGCTCGGCATCTAAAAGCTGGACGCTGCGGCGAAATCGCAGGAATAGCCGTAAGAATGTGCTGCAAAGCAGAATTGTTGGATTTGAATTTTTCGATGACGCCGAGACACTGTTCTTGTCTGAGGCTGGTGACGTCAATATGATCGAATTCAATGAGTATGCTGCACCTTCCTTGAAGTTTGGGCTTCGTTGGAGACATCCCTGTGGAGCTTGACGGGATCCATAGACTTGGGCGGCATCAGGAAAAGGGACGAGGCCTTCGTGCGTGTACGGCTGGTCCTGTGCATGGGCTGCCTTGGGGCTTGCACTGGGGAGCTGTTGTGGCGAGTCACTCGAGCGTGTCTCGGCGTTGTTGTGGCTGGTTGCCCGAATGTGTCACGGCGCTGCTGCGGTTGGTCACTCGGAATGTGTCTCATGGCCCGTGCGGGTCCCAAACACCGAAACAAAACGTTGCGCTCCTCCCGAAAGAACACCGCTTGGATGCCCCTGTCGTCGCTGCCTGAGCGGCGCCGGAGGAGGTTCCGCCGAATTGGCTGACTGTATGAATCCCATGTCGTAATGCCGCCCGCCCGTCGGCCACCCGAGGCGGAAAGTTGGCCCTCACGAGCACCCCGGGCGTGGGCCGCCCGGTCCGGCGCTCGATCACGAGGCAACCGGCGCCCGCCCATCGCCATGCCAGCCCAGCTGTAGAGCCCCACGAGCGCGGGCGGCGGGGGGGGGGACCGCTTGGAGGTCGGTAGGAGCGGAGTCGGTGGAGAGCCGCGGCGGAGACCCATCCCAAATCATGCGGACATCGCGCGATGGCGGTGGCCGGGTCGGGCTTGGGCTGGCAGTGGCCTTCCTGCTCCTCTCGGCGCTCTTCTCGGGCAGGTGCCAGCGCTCGAGCGACGTCAGCGACGAAGACGTGGCCCTGCTCACAGAGGGCAAGCCGATAGTGGGCTTCCTGGACTTCAACGAGGCGCGCATCGTCCGCTTCGGCGTGACCAGCACCAGCACGGGCGACTTCCCGGACATCCTGATGACCCTCATCGTGACCAACGCGCTGGGCGACGCGGACATCCGCTGCTCGCCGTACAACTGGGTGCAACAGGGCCGGCGGGGCTTCCCGTGGGTGTCCACCCATCGCCAGGGCGCCGACGAGGTGTTCATGTCGTCCAAGACCGAGGAGTACAAGGCCGCGGTGATAGACGTGGAGGTCAATCGCACGGGGGTGACGGAGACGATCCAGGCGGTGGGGTTCCAGTGCTGGGTGGTGGGCGCGTCGCGAGCCGGGTCGGCGTTCGAGCTGGAGGCGGACGTGGCAGTGGCAGGGGTGGGGCTGATCGGCGACGAGCAGAAGGCTCTGAGGACCATATTCGCGGACTGCTGCGCCAAGAAGGGCGCGTGCAAGAACTGGCCGCGGAAGGGGAAGAAGGGCATCAAGCTGGAGTTCGACCTGTGCCACGTGCAGGGGAACATCTGCGACGTGAAGGGGCGGCTCACGCGCCTGAACATGGACGGCTACGGCCTGGGGTGCGAATTCCCGTCCAGGGAGTTCAGTGTGTTCGAGGACATGCGGAAGCAGGAGGTGGGTCGCAACAAGTTCACGGGGGACATGGCGAAGGTAATGGACGCCCTGGCGACCCTGGTGAACCTGACACACATCAACGTGCGCGATAACAAGCTGTCGGGCACGCTGGCCAACAGCAAGGGGCTGTGCGAGATGACGGCCTCCAGGCTGCAATTCCTGGACGTGCAGAGCAACCCGGTGCACGGGCCCATTCCGGAGTGCCTCATCACTTCGGACAGTCAGCTGCTGGACGTGATCCTCAGCAAGACCGACATCTCGGGCACCATCCCGGACGTCTTCGCCGCCGAATCCAACCTGCAGGTAAGGCCCGAAGCAACGGCACCAGCGTAATCGCGCCCATCATCGCTTTGCGGGTGCAAGGGCGGCGTTTGGCATGCGTTTGCGATCGCAGTGACCGGGATTTTGTGCGCACGTTACAGGCGTTCATCGCAAGGGACGCCAGGCTGTTTGGCAAGGTGCCTCCCAGCCTGGCGAACCCCGAGCAGCTGACCTTTCTGGAGCTGGGGGCGAACGAATTGACGGGCCGCTTCCCCGATGGCGTGGAGGAGCTGCCCAACATCCACACACTGAGTCTGCAGAGAAACAAGATCTCTGGCCTGCCCAAGGCTTGGAACATCGCGGACCGCAATAACCCCACAACACTGAAATTCGTAGACTTTGGCAGCAACAAAATCCGGGGCAAATTTCCCCTGATGCTGGCGACTGTGGAGCACATGGACTACCTGGACCTCTCCAGGAACAAGCTGAAGGGAACGCTGCCTGACGCCCCCGGCGTGTTTCCCAACATCTATACATTGAAACTTGCCAACAACAGGTTCCATGGAGCTATTCCAGACTCGTGGGGGGCCATGGGCATGTTCCAGGTGCCGCCAGCCATCGATATCTCGGGGAAACTCGACCTACGTAACAACAGAGATTTGTCTGGCGAGCTGCCTGACTTCTTTTACCCAGATGAACTGCAGGGCAATGTTCCGGAGGTGCGAATAGACAAGACGTCTATCGCGTGCGACGTGAGGGGCCCCTCACCGTATGTGACCGACACAGAGGAATGCAAGGGCGACCCTGCAGCATTTGGGGCGCGGCGTTAACGTTGGCGCCTGGGGAGGTGGGGGCTAGTCCAGTGTAGGAGTTGGTGGGAGGATGCTTAGGTCAGATGGGGAGAGAGCTATTGTCGCACGGTTATTCGAATTCCTGTATATTTTATGTTGTGGTCTTCTGTGCACCTTTTGTCTCTGAGTGGCCATTGCCAGGCGGCCAGTGTGGGAAAGTGCTGACATTGTGCATTCATGATTGGGCTGTCCCAAGCTGGAAATAATTTGTAAATGGCCACGATGCAGCGATTGGCAATTTTTTGGCAGAGAATGAGGATTGATTATCACTGGACGATGTGTACCAGGAGGCAACATTCCGCATCGCCCTGTGGTTTGATGTGCATTTGAAGTGACTGTACTTGTGGCCACCTGTTGTATATGTCCAGCATCATGAAGGTAGGTCTTTGCCAAAGCACTTGTGAACTAGTCTCCCGCTCCTGGAAGTCAAAGGCTGCAGATTCCAGATATGGGCTACGTCCTGTTGGAGACTTTCCAAGCATGTACCACAGTTTACACAAATGCTTTGCCCCCAAGGTGAGCCCAAGCCCCTCTTCAACTGTGTACATACATCAAATAGGCCTCAGACAGCCCTTCCACCTCAATTGTGGCGAAAGGTGGACCATGATGTGGACAATGCTCCAAGTACACGGGGGCACAGCTGCCATCTCAACACGACTGTGCCTGAATTGCGATGAAGGGTGGAGCAGCGTGCCAACTGGGACTCTCAACAACGCTTAAATGACATATGTAGGTGCAGTGCTTGATGAGGCCGCTGCAATCCGTTGGAGGCATTGGCAACTGGATGTGGACAGTGCTCCAATTGAGGGTGGATCACAGCTGCCACTTAGACACACCCCTGCCTGAGGACCCATTCTGTCACAAAGACAGCAGGTTCCCGCTCTTTAGTTAACCCTGCGGCGGCAAACGCCGAGCCCGGCCAGGGGATTTGAGCAACATACATTCCGAACAGCACCTCCCCACTCGCCAAGCTCCCAACCAATGAATTCTGCGATGCCCACCTTGGTAACGTCCATGTGTATCCCTGTGTGAAGGCGCACCGCATGCATGCCACACAGACTGCCTCGTTCCAATCCGATCGCGCGTCAAATTGACGAAGCGAGCAGCGATCGTTCACGGCGCGTGAAGATCCCGCACACCGAGCGCCCCTTGGTCCTCGGCGAACCGCTGACGCCTTTATTGTGGCGCTCTGCGCTGTGCAGCCTTCGTCTCCGCCCCCGAACTGGGCATTGTCTTGTGCCTGTGCCGCCGTTCCACTGCTCTTCACGCCATCCTGTTGATCAGGGCGTGGCCGCGCGGGAGAAGGCAGGCGCGTGTTCCCGCCGCTCGCGCGGCTGTCGCAAGCAGTCGTAGTCGACCTTAGATTATCAAGCAGCCAATCAACGCAGTGGTTGCCGTGTGAATGAACTGGCCGTCCACTGACAGGCAATGGATCCGCCGGATGCTCCAGTCCGGAAAGGGGTGGGGGGTGTACCTGGTTGGCAACAACTTGTCACAAGTGTTGAACATCCTCAACCTCGTTCCAAGGCATACAGGAACCTTCATAACATTTTCTCTTTTTGTGCTTAGGAGTGCCCCTCTCGGACATCGAATGCTCATCGGTCACTGATGTTTTCCTTCTTCTCTTACTGTTTGGGACTCTGCATCGTTCTTTGCCAAAAAGGGTACCATTGTGCTTCATGGCTTGTGGGGGAGCTCCTCTAATCGTATCATAGTGCAACACATTCGGAATAAAAAAGTATGCAGGAGCAAAGGGAAGGGAACGAAGTGGATTGAGGGTGAGGTTTGTCCCACTTCAGGGTGAATGGGTTATACATAAGGCAACCCTCCACAGTGCATATCCACAGATTGTATTTATCATACAATGACAAAACACAACACGCACGTGCGTGTACCCCCCACGTAAATGATCAGTGTTTACGCCGTAAAGACCAAGCATGAAGGAAGCCGTGGAAGCAGAGGTTGAGACTGTTTCTAGAAAAAGAATGAAGCCGGTCTTTCAATGGTCCACTCCTCCAGAGCGAAGTGCGCCACAGTCTTGGAAAGGTAGCAGGGCGGGCGAACTGGACAGATGGGACAACAAAGACGAAGGGAAAGTGGATGCGCGCCACATATGGGGTAGAAAAGACATAGACAGAAAATTGAGGGAGAGGTGATCATCCCTGCGTTCATTTTGTGTTCCTTCATGATGGAGACAAAGGGGCAAGAAGGATCATCATGGGAGAGAATATGTGGGGTCCTTTCCCTCCTTGTGCTCCTTGTATGTCGCCTTGCAGAAGATCAACAGAAAGGTATTCCCTCCATGTCGTGAGCATTCTTCGCTCCCCCAGCCAGCTGGGAACTGGACGGAAAAGCTTACAATGCTGGGTCTGCGGAACAACATTATGACCAGGGGATCGCCGAGCTTTTATTTCTGTCGATGACGTCTCATGGTTGCCGTGGCCCATTGCCAGGTTCTCGTCAGGGAGCGCCATGCCCGGCCCTGCTGGCCAGTCTTGGTCAATTGTGACAAACATGGGATAAATGGCGACAAAGAGCTGTATTGTGGGTAACACAGTGGGTCCCATATTAATAACACAGTACTGTTGGCGGATAGGCTTTGATGAACCAACAGGTCTGGGTAAAATCTGTCCAAAACACCCCCAGAAATCAACTGATCAATGGGAGTTTGATCACTGGCACTTAGACTAATGGCGGAGAGCTCAACTGTTAGTCTTAAATGCATTTGTCCACTTGGGAGAACCCTGCGTGGCTGAACTTCCTAGGATGGTGAGGAGCTCGAATGAGTAGGGCGGCTACAAAATAGCTCAATGAGATATGCGTTGCTGCTTGAAATCGTTAGCCACAGTCCTGTTCAAATTTGAAAAGTGAACAGGGTTGAACGGATAGTGTAACGGATCTCAGATTTGCTTGGCGTAAACAAGGGAACTAAGTGATGCATTGCAATGCCTGTTTTAATAGGGGCATGAGGAACTGATGCAAATCCCGACATTGTCATGGAACTTACCATGAGTCGACCCATTGGGCAGCATGCATACCCGGATGAAGGTCCAATTGTCAACCTAGCATATGCTCCCATGCCATGCACGGCTGGTACTGCCTGTTGCTTCAAGACAATACCTTCATCGTAGTAGTTATGCACAATGTAATTTTGATGGAAATGGACGCTACAGATGGGAGATCATCCAATTGGCTCTTAATTCCGGAATTGGGTGGGAGTGTCAAGGGTTACCACGGAAATCGGAAAAGAACTCTGGCAGATGTGCAAACGTGAAATCTGGATTGCATCTAGTTTCGTGGACATATCGCAGAATTTTCTTCTGTTTCCTAGTGGCAAATCACTGCAGGATATCATTTCCAGAGCAGAAAAAATAGAACTGTACTACAATCAACACCACAAGGAGATCCAATGTGTACGGACTGCTTGTAAATCTGCCTGCAGATTGCGATCTTTCAACTTCATTCTCGGTGAGAAAAGCTTGGGGTCGAGACGTTCTGGCCGGCATGAAACTTGACGGCGACAACATTGATGACTGCAGGACGCCATTTCATCTCTATTGGCACATCCGCATCCCCCCGGCTTCCGTCAATTGCGCCCTACAGCCCATCCAGACTGTTGTGCTCGGTTGCCTTCGGCGTGGCGTCGCGGCGCCGGCCGCTGAAAAGCTGGGAGGCGACCGGGCGGATATCCCAGAGCGCGCTCTGCAACGGACACACAAGGGCAATCACCAAGCTGCAAGCAGCCATTTTCATTGCTGCCACCCAAGAGCAGCACAGTGTTTGCCTGCCGCGTTCAAGGCGATGGCGGGTGCGATTTCATCCACAGTGTTCACCGGATGCCAATCTACACTTACATGACACCGCGTTGTCTGCATGTACCTTTAATGGCCAGCTTCTGTCGGAAGGCCCTCTCTAGCTTTGTAAACTCGTCCAGCGGCGTGTCGGAGGGGAAGAAACTGCCGGCTGCAGGGGTCCCGCTAGACTCTTGCGCCATCGCTGTTCCAGCGCCTCTGGGGTTTGAGTCCCTTGGTGTGCCCAGGCCTCCCGAGTGACGGATGGGCCACCGGCGATTCGCCGCCATTTTTGGGGCGAGAGAAGCCGGACCGCCGTTTGCCAGGTGGCCCTGCCCTGCCCAACGCTTCTGCACGGGTCCGCAAGCGGAGAAGAGCGATGACTCAACGTCTTCCATCAGCCAGGATATGCCTTCGCAGTGCCCGCCAGAGGGGTTTCAGAACTTGGGATCCAACCAATCTTTATGCTATTGCTCGTGGACAATCAATGCTCTTGCAGCAATTCGGCATCATGCCATGATCAGGCAATTGGCGTGGGCATGCTTCAATGGGGTAGCTACCCAATATCTATAGAGAGCGTGGTGAATTAAGTAATTTCACGCCAAGGAAAAGGGGTACAACAGGCCGCACGGAGGTGCGTTTTAATTGGCGCGCCATGGCGCATTCAAATACACATGCAACACATATGCAGAAACGTACAAGACAAGGCATGGCTGGTGGAATTCATTGCATATGCACACACCGTACGGTGTGGCCCACATAACGAAGTCCCGCGCTGTTTTTAGACCTCTCAATTTGTTTCATTTTCTTCACGCATCCTCGTTGTCCACACAGATGTGGGGTGAGCACAGAACAAGAAGAGGCACGAATTGTGATATTCCTAGTCGCCTGTTTTGGCCAAGCTAAACGGGCGACTCCAGCGATCTGATAGGCTTGTCGGCGAGCAATGCACGAAAAAGTCCTTTTGCAGGAAAGCCCATTTCCGTTGTAGAAATTTCCATTTCTGGGACGCCAATTGACAATAAATGACGCTTTCTGGTACACCACTGGGACGCTTACTCAGGCATTCGCTTCCCAGGAAGCGTTCCGGTGGCGTCCCAGTAAGGGCAATTTATGGTAAATTGGCGTTTCCAAAATGTCCATCTTCACTAATGTTTATCAGTGCTCCTACCAGCCTTCTTAACAGCC